AAATCAGTGAGCTTCTTCAAGGCATGACAATATGAACTGGTGAACAAAATATTTTCAAAATATGAGGAATATATTCTGCATCTTTCTATGTCTTGAAATTTACTTATAGGCCTTGTTATTTTACTTTAAGAGTTTCAAATATTTCCCCTTAAACAATTTATTTTTGAGTCTAAACAGCCCTTTTCTCTGCAGTGTTTTTGTTTAGTTTTTCTTTTTTTTAATTTTACTACTCAAAATACATTGTAGTTGATTTTCATGCCCCTTTATGCTTTCCTCTCCACCCCCTCCACCCCTGTCATATCTGTTCACTTGACTTAAATAGTTCAAGGAATTTTTTGTGGTTATTCTCTGCAGTATTTTTGAACAATGGCTCCGAAGGCATCGTCCTCTTAAAGAAGTTTATCCAGAAGCCAATGCACCCATTGGACATAACCGGGAATCCTACATGGTTCCTTTTATACCTCTCTACAGAAATGGTGATTTTTTTATTTCGTCCAAGGACCTGGGCTATGACTACAGCTATCTACAGGATTCAGGTAAAATTTGATTTCTTCAAGATAAATTGCTGAATCTACTATGATCAATTTTGAAATAGTACAAAACCATATGTTTCTACAATGTTATCCATGAACGCTTTAAATTGGGAAAGTGTATTACAATTCTTACTAATCACCAATTTATTCTTAAATTAACAAAATTCTCAGGACCTTTAAATCTGTATCAATTCTGCTTAATAAAGAGAATTTTGTACACGGCAACCATGAGAAGAGCACTAGAATTTTAAAAAACAAAAGGTTTTGAGACATGACCCTATTAGCTGACTGTTGTATGACCTCGGGAAATTTGCTTCAATTCCCTGCATCTCAGTTTATTCACCTGAAATATTGGAATCAGAATACCTCAAAGAATTATTGTGAGAATAATACTTTAAAAAGCCTAGTACAGTGTGGCACAAGGTAAACAATCAGTAGTTTTGAAATCATCTTTAGGAACTTCTCGCTAGGATTACCAAGAAAATCAAGAAAATCTCGATTTTAAGCCTAATGAATGAATATTAATGATGATAATAGCTATTATAATGTTAATTGCTATGAGTATCATTAAGAGAGCAATATAAACCCTAGGATTAGGATTACATATAGGCTTTAACTAACCTTACTGAGTAGAACTATGTCAGTATCTCCTTGAGAAACGAGGAACGGACAGTAATGTCTATCCCTACCAAGAAACCTGTAACATGCAGATTCTTGACATGTGTATGAGGCAAGTATTAGTCTCCCTAGAAGGAGGTGAGGACACTAATCCTAAGAGAATTTAAGTAACTGTCCCAGTACCACACGCCAACATGTGCAGGAGCCATAATTCAGCTCTAGGAGGTCCTGCTCATCTCACTCCACTGTGCTTCCACTCTTAACACATGAAGACTGACAACCGAGAACAGTAAAATAACCTATGGCTTGCAGGAAAGAGGCACTCAACAAGCAGTGATGTTTCTTTATATTCATGACACATAAGTAAATTAAGAGATAAGGAAAATAAAATGAATAAATGAATGAAATGCTCCAACTTTCTAGCTCATGCTCCCAACTCATGCTCTGACATAGCTCCAGAACTCAAGAAGTTCCAAATCCAGTGTGGAAGTCAGGCATGCAAGAAAATACAAAACATCAGGCTATGTTAAATGCTATAAAAGTCATAAGCAAAACCCTATGTGAACACCAAGGAGAAAGCAATGACTTCTGTGTAGTTCAACCTAGAAGGACAATATAGGGCCTTGAAGTAGGCAGGTGGGAGACAGAAAAGGGCAAGAAATATATATATTTTTTTAATTTTATTTTATTTTGTCAATATACAATGTGGTTGATTATTGTGGCCCATTATAGAAACCTCCCTCCCTCATCCCTCTCGCCCCTCCCTCCTAACAACCTCATATCTGTTTGCTTGTTGTATCATCTTCAAGGAATTGTGATTGTTGTGTCTTCTTCCCTCCCCCCCCCAGTTTATTTGTGTATTCATTTATTTTTAGCTCCCACAAAAAAAGTGAGAACATGTGATATTTCTCTTTCTGTGCCTGACTCATTTCACTTAATATAATTCTCTCTAGGTCTATCCATGTCATTGAAAATGGCAGTATTTCATTCTTTTTTATAGCAGAGTAGTATTCCATCATGTAGGAATACCACATTTTCCATATCCCCATATCCACTCATCTGATGATGGACATTTGGGCTGGTTCCAACTCTTACCTATTGTAAATAGTGCTGCAATGAACATTGGAGAACAGGTGTACTTTCGACTTGATGATTTCCGTTCCTCTGAGTATATTCCTAGCAGTGGGAGAGCTGGGTCATATAGTAGATCTATCTGCAATTGTTTGAGGAGCCTCCATACCATTTTCCATAGAAGCTGCACCATTTTGCAGTCCCACCAACAATGTATGAAAGTTCCTTTCTCTCCACAACCTTGCCAGCATTTATCATTCACAGTCATTTGGACATTAGCCATCTTAACTGGGGTGAGATGGTATCTCAGTGTGGTTTTGATTTTCATTTCCTGAACGCTGAGTGATGTTGAGCATTTTTTCATGTGTCTGTTGGCCATTCATATATCTTCCTTTGAGAAATGCCTATTTAGCTTTTTAGTTTGATGGAATACCATTTGTTTATTTTTCCTTTGGTTGCCCGTGCTTTGGGGGTCATATTCATGAAGTCTGTGCCCTATCCTACATCCCAGAGTGTTTCCCCTACGTATTCTTTAAGGAGTTTTATTGTTTCAAGGTGTGTATTTTATTCTTTAATACATTTTGAGTTGATTTTACTATATGGTGAGAGGTATGCATCTAGTTTCATTCTGCTGCATATGGATATCCAGTTATCCCAGCACCATTTGCTGAACAGGCAGTCTCTTCCCCAGTGTATAGGCTTGGTGCCTTTGTCAAAGATCAGATGGCTGTAGGTGTGTGGGTTGATTTCTGGATTCTCTATTCTATTCCATTGATTAGTGTGTCTGTTTTTATGCCAGTACCATGCTGTTTTGGTTATTATGGCTTTGTAGTATAGTTTAAAGTCAGGTAGTGTTATGCCTCCAGCTTTATTTATTATTATTATTATTTTTTTTTTTTTGCTCAGAATTTCTTTGGCTATGTGTGGTCTTTTGTTGTTCCATATAAATGCCTGAATAGTTTTTTTTTCCATTTCTGAGAAAAATATCATTGGAATGTTGATGGGGATTGCATTGAATTTGTATATCACTTTGGGTAGTATGGACATTTTCGCAATGCTGGTTCTTCCAATCCAAGTGCATGGGATATCTTTCCGTATTCTTGTGTCCTCTTTAATTTCTCTCAGCAGTACTTGTAGTTCTCATTATAGAGATTTTTCCCACCCTTGGTTAACTCTTTTCCTTTTTTTTTTTTTTTTTTTTTTTTTTTTTTTTTTT